AAACTCACAACAGTTGATAATACAATATAAAATATTAGTAATTTTTATATTTCAATATAATTTTTCATATATCACGCAAAAAAATATATTCATTCAAAACCACAGTGACTAAAATTATACTAAATAACCTAAAATTTATTTTTACAAATTTTATGATATTAATATTTACCTAAAATATTAAATTTCTTTCATCCTGAAATTTCCATAGTATTTGAGTGAAATATAATAAATGATGCATTTGTTTGTATAATTTTAGTTTTGAGTTTTGATTTTTACATATCTTGAGCATTGGATTTTTAAAGGGTGTGTTTGTTTGAAGGATTTTGGTGGACTTTTACTATTCATTCTATTTTTTTTTCTTAAAAACATCAAATTAAACACTTATTTTTTATTTTTTGTATTATACTAAAAATTAATTTTACATTCAAAATATCATATCAACACTTATTTATATCACATCATACAACTATTCAAATTCAAAATTTTTACTATTCAAATCTTACCTCAAAATCCAAACTCCAAACAAACACACCCAAAGTGTATTTGTAAAATTTTGAATTTTAATGATTAAAAGTGTGTTATTCTTTAATTTTTTTTTACGTATTTTTTCTTAAAAAAATAATATATTATATATACTTATTGTTGTTATATTTTTAATACAATTATCTCTACTATATAAAAAATATATAATTTTTTAAACTATTTTACAAAATAAATACACCCTAAATTTTATTAGGTATAATATATATAATAAATAATTATATTTAAAATAAAAATAATAAAATATTTATTATTATATTTATAAAATTAAATAACCGTCATACATTTCTTCCCACTATTTCTTAATTTATTATTATTTTAAATGGTGGGGGCCATATAAAATATTTTTAAAAAAAAATTGAAGGGAAAGACGTGGCCGAATGTTTTTATCACCAAATATATAATATATAAGATTTATAATAGGTAGAAGAATAAAATGGTATGTTTTTTTAGCAATATTTTCTCAAATTTTACTATTTGAATTCTATATTTTACGAAAAAATAGGATGAATAGTGGATTGAAAATCCAATTCATCAAACAAACAAACCCTTAGTGTATGTTTGAATTAACTTAAAAAATAAGCAGAAACCAAGACAAACAGTTCGATTTTGTGTTTGATAAATCATTATAAAAATATTTTTTTTATAAAGAACTGTTTTATTGTAATAAAATTAAAAGCGCTTTTAAATTTTTAAATTTACTCAAAACGATATGTTAATATAATTATATTTAAAGATTTTAAACTAAAGTATAAAAAATACTCCATATTTTAGAATTTTAGTTATTTTTATTTTAAAAATTTTAATTTAAGGACAATATATAAATTAACACTAAAACTATTCATACTTTACAATTTATTTTAAAATTTTATAAATTATAATTAATAGTTTTTGTATAATAAAAAAAATTACATAGTCCTACTTAAATTTAGTATTTCAATTATAATCTTAATTTAAATATAATATATGGATTAAAAATAATATAATTATATTTTGAAAATATCATATATAAATAAATCATTTTATATTATATTATAGTATTGTATTATTATTATTATTATTATTATTATTATTATTATTATTATTATTAAGGATAAAATAATAATTTTAATTGAAAAGTATTTCTACTTATTTCAGAGTTAGTCTTAATGTTATTTTGAAAAAAATATTTATCAATCTCAAAAGTTGCTTTTGCTTTTGGATAGCCAATACAAATAGGTACAAAGTATCTTTTTTAAAAGTAAAAGCCAAAAATTCTGGCCAAAAGCCAATCCAAACGAAGTCTTACTCAATAATGCAATTTTAATTTATATTTATTTATTTCAAAAAAAAAAAAAAGACAATAGTTGAGTGCTTTTAGTGTTCAGAATTTTTGTGTTTTTATTATTAGTTATTGAAATGGTAAAATATTATTAAAATATTTAATTTTATTATTTCATAAATAATTTTTAAGAAAAAATAATATATGACCCATGTAGTCTTATTATGTTTTACAAAGAATTGAGGCTAAATTTGGCAAGGGGAGAGTATTATTAGGAATAGTGATTAATATTTTGTGAAAGTGAATTCAAAAACTCATTTATTACATTTATTACTATCAATAATTAAATTCAATTTATATCTTCATTTTTTGTATTTACTTTTGGAAGAATTTTATATAAAATGTTATTTAAATAAAAAATTTTATAATCACAATATGTTTCTTGGTTGTTTTATTTACGTTTATGTTATTAAAATTAATTTTTTATGTTAGCTAATTACTTTTTCATAATTATTACAATAAATATTTTTGAAATATATTTCAAAATATAAAATATTAAGCATAAGATATTAAAAGTATATATTTCAAAAATTTCAATAAATAAAAAATAATTAATATAATAATAATGAATTACAAATATTATAGAAATTAATTAAAGTAATTAATTGTTTAATACTATAATATTTCTTAAATTCTATAGAAAAAAAAAATGGAATAATTTCACGAAGGAAGTAACATTTAATTGAATTTAGATATTTTTTAACTTCTATTTCTATTAGTGACATATGTATTAAAAAAAAGGGAGATTATTATAAATAAAATTTAATTATTATTCAAATTTTCTTGTTTAGGTATTCTAATATATATATATGATTATAATATTCAATATAAATTCTTATTCAGTTTTTCTTATTAAATTATTTTATAATTTCTATAAAATAAAAAATAAAATACGAGTGCGGGTTTGTTTGGGGATCGGAATTTTGAGTTTGGATTGTAATACTCTCTGTGTCCCATTAAAATGTTGTCATTTTTTATTTTTTTCTGTCATTTTTTATTTTCGTCCCTCCTAAAACAAGGTTATCATTTCATAATTTAGTAATTATACTATCTACTTCATATAATAAATACTCTTCCAACTTACAATATATTACACAAATGTCATTACTTTTATATTACACAATACTAATATGAGTATTTTTGTGTTTTTTTATTACAACACAATACCTAATATTAATATTTTTTTCTTAAGTACTCTTCGGTATTTAAGTAGTTTGGCCAACACTTTCATTTTTCTTTTCTTGTTCTAACCACATTGTCACTCTTGTTCTAGCCTTTGCATTTCTGAATTGTCTTGAATTGTCTTTCCTCTTCATCCTCCTCTTCATTGATGATGGGTTTGTCGGATTTAGCTGAGGACGGAGTCGGAGCTTTTGCAGGGGTGGATGTCTCTATTGGCGTCTGGGGGCTGTATGGCATAGGTTCCTCTTCCGCTGCACCCAGAGTTGTTGACTGTTGTTTTGAGAGATACCTGCAAAATAGACAGCGACGTTATTACTTCCTCCACCCTGTTGGTTTCATCGGCAGCTTCAGCGGTTGTGGCAGTGGAGACCTCAGCGGCTTGATCTTTGAATGACTCTACGATTACATCTATGCCAAAGATGGTTTCTTCGGTGATTACAGTCTCCCGCTCCTACTCTGATCCAACAGCAGTTGGCTCTTGTATCCCCTGCTGGTCGAAGGGAGTAGATTCATCGCCAGTTGAACTGATATGGCGGAGTGGCGTTTCTTCGCGTGGTTACTCCATTGGCAAGGGTCGCTCGGGCTGGTTGGTGGGCTCCATGATGGTAATTCCCTTCCTCAGACGAGAAACCGGAACGGCGTCTTCTGTTTCCTGAGCCTCCACCGCCTTGCATTTTCCCTTCTCCTTCCTAGTCAGCTTCCGAGGGGGGCTTTTATTTTTCCTTATAGCCATCTTCACCCTTGGTTTCTTAACAGCTGGCTTAGGAGCGGAGTTTTCTTTGCCCTTCAACCTCTTCTCGCCAGCGGTCTTCTCCTTGCTTCCTTATTGCTCCGGACCTGCTCCTCACCGAATAAGCTCTTCTCCACTTCCCGAGCAAAGCGAGCAACGGCCTCAGCTTCCTCATGAGTCTCCTCAGAGACAGTTCGTTCCGAATCATGCTAAGCAGTAGCCCCTTCCGGTCCGGCCTTTGACGCCACTCCTTCTTCTTACTCTCCTTCCGCTAGCAAGCAGACAATATCCTCCCAAACAACTTTCATTTTCTTTTTTGGAGAGGGTGGGAGGAGCTGTCGCTTGCGCCTTCCTCTTCTTCTCCTTGGGGATCAAATTAAACTCCTTGGACTCCAGCCAATTTTTGTGGAACGCCGCTGGCAGCAACGGCTTCATTTATAGATCAGGGGTTGGAGTGGGCAGATCGATGCCCGCGAGTCTGAATAGTTTTTTAATCAAGGTCCCGTGACCCAACGTCTTTTTTATCTTCCTTTGTGCTCATATGTCTATGCAAATTATCGCGCCTATGTCTATATTAGTCTTTTTCTTCAAATTGAGCGCAGCGCAATCAAGTATTCGAGTCTGCTGTCCGTGGTATGAGATGTTATCATGACCCTGCTCAGTGACCACTTGACTAATTCTTTCTTATCATCGTCCACCGACCCAAACTTCAAGTTTCTCTTGAGCCACAGCGCACCGCTGCGATCAACTTGTCTTCCATCTCTTGGGTTGGATAGCGGAATGGCCACCCCAGGACCCGATTCATTCGCCTTGCTGAGCAGTCCACCCATTTTCTCTGACATAGATGTTCTTGGGACTCTCAGCTTGGCTCATGTTAACGTAGAATTCCCTCATATGCAATATATCCACTGGATCCTTGGGATGTTAAATCAACCAAGCCAGACCTCGCTCTTTTCTCTAGTTAGCGAGTGGGTCTCAGATGTTTTTTGTGGCGAATCCTCTCTCATAGAGGATTCCTATGGCCTTTGCCGTTTCGTAGGCCGCTGCCGCTTCCAGGCTATGTGTCATATTGCTTGGAAACCAGTACTATCTTCGCTTCCATGGCGGCGTCCTACTTTGCTATTTTTCCGCTCGGTAGGCCCTCATTTTTTCTCCGGCGGCTTGACGAGCGAACTCCTGCTCGATTTCCCCTTTGCCAAATTCCTTTAACTTCTTATAGCTCAGCCATCAGTCGCTCACCGGATACCTCTGATCAATTTTGTCTGTGTATTCGAATTTCAGGTAATCCTCCGGGAACTCTGGGATGAATTTTTGGAATTCTACAACTTTCAGCTTCCTCAGCTCGCTCCAATCCTTAGCCAATTCAAGCACATTTCTTCGCTTGTAGTAGGCTTCCGGTGGTGCTAGTTCAACAATTCCCATTCACCTTTTCCAACCACTCTCCTCCTGTCCATTGACAATATCCTTTGAATTCTTTTTGTTAACGTCCCTTTAACTTTCTCAAACTTCTCCTTCACACCAATTTTCTTCTCGCTTGGATCTATTGTGACAGCTTAAACAGCCTAGGGCTTCCAGTACTTGGTAAGAGAAACAAAGCTTGATTCAGAACAATTTCTAACTTAAATTGCTAGTTCCAAAATGGACGAAAAATCAAGTAAACAGGTAAAAATATCCTAATTTTCACTATGAACCTTATTTCCTCTTCCCACAACGAAACAGAACACTCCATTGAGGGTTTCGTTGTGAACAAGGGGTGAAAAAATCACACACACAAAAAATCCATTGAAAAATGGAAATCTGATCCACATAAAGTAAGAATATTAGATACTTTATCTAAATCTATCATATAACAGACTTACATTCACAGAAAATAAAGTTATAGAGATTTTGCAAAAGTTCTACGAACAGACATTTTTTGCAAAAATATTTTGTAATTTTGCGTTAATGAGTGCAAAATCAGAACAAATAAACCATAAAATCAAGTAATTAGAACAAGACGAACCTAGATCTTACCTCAGATTTTGTTGAAATCAATTGAAGAGTGAAGACTTTTCAAAGTTTGGAACACGGAGAAATGGTGGTTTCTTTGTAGCATACTGAAGAAGTTACTCTATGGTAAAAATGGAAATGACTGAGGTAGGGGGTATTTATAGGAGAGGTTTAGTCGTTTACTTTCTATGACATAAGCGGTGGACAATTCAGTTTCCTGTCAGTCCAATATTATTATATTAATATAAAGGCTTAAGGATGGGTTACTAGGCGGGTGAGCGGTTAAAACATTACTTTTATTTATCCTAAGTGTGACACACAAGCGAGGGGGAAAGCCCGTACTGGGAGAGCGAAAACACTGATCTTTATGGCTCCGCTTGGCAGAACTTATCCACACATAAGGTTTCAGCCTCGCTCTATTGACTAGGAAGGAATCGCCGACAGCATAATCACTTGCATCTGTCATTAACTCGAATGGCTTGCTCCATACTGGTGCGGAAATGATGGGAGCGGTGGTGAGTTTTTCCTTTAGGATCAGAAAAGCCTCCTCACACTCACTCGACCACTCAAATTTGGCATCTTTGCACAGCAGCACGGTGAGCGGTTGAATAATTTTGCTGAAGTCCTTGATAAAGCCACGGTGAAAACTGGCGTTGCCAAAGAAAATTCTAACTTCTTTCTCATTCGAGGGCGCTGACATCTTTTCGATTACACTAACTTTTGATCTGTCCACCTCAATTCCAGTGAGCAAGATCTTATGGCCAAGAATAATTCCTTAATTTACCATTAAATGACATTTCTCCCAATTCAACATGAGATCAGTTTCAATGCAGCGCAACAGCGCTCTATCCAAATTATTTAGGCATGTTGAAACAGTCTTGCCATAAACTGAGAAGTCATCCATAAAAACTTCGATACAAAAGTCCAGGATATCACTGAAAATGTGGGACATGCATCGTTGGGAGGTTGTTGGGGCGTTGCAAAGCCCAAAAGGCATCCTCCGATAAGTGAACGTACCATATGGACAAGTAAACGTAGTTTTCTCACAGTTCTCCGGTTTGATGGGAATTTGGTGGTAGCTTGAGTAGCCGTCCAGGAAACAATAGTATTCGTGTACTGAAAGCTTCTCAAGGCATTGATTAAGGAATGGCAGTAGAAAATGATCTTTCTTCATCGCTTCATTCAGCCTTTTGTAGTTGATACAGACTCTCAATCCTGTGACTAGTCTTGTCATGAAGACCTGCCCATCGTCACTTGTCTGTTCGGCAAAGTCCCCTTTCTTTAGGAGCACCTAGGTTGGGCTGACCCACTGGCTGTCATTAATAGGATAGATGATACCTGCATCAAAAATCTTTGTTACCTCTTTCTTAACAACTTCTTGCATATTCTCGTTAAGGCGTCGTTGAGGCTGTCTACATGGCTTCGCTTCAGCTTCCAGTCTTATATGGTGCATACACACCTCTTGGTTGATTCCTTTAATATCTAATATTTTCCATGCAAATTTCGTTTTTCTTCTCTTGAGAATGGATATGAGTTGAGCCTCTTGATCCAGTACAAGCGAGGTGGAGATTATCAGCGGGTAAGTCTCATCCAGGCCAAGGAACACATATTTCAGATGCTCTGGTAGCTTATTCAACTCATCCCTTACTATAGATTTGCTTTCTCGGTCTCTCTTTGCTCGTTTTATAGACTCAATGGGTACAGGTGAGCTATCACTCCGCTCATTTGAGTCCTCAAGCTGCCCCAGTACAAGCGAATCATTTTCTGAAATTTCCTCAAGAAATTGTAAGGTTAAACTATTCTCAAGAGAAGTTAATTCATTTAATTCATCGATAAAATCACAGTTTTCTTCCTAAGGTTTGTGTAATGCGTTGTTCATTGAAAATGTGATTTTATCTCCACCAATGCTAAGTGTAATTTTTCCTTGCGCGACATTGATATTAGCTTGAGCGGTGGCAATGAGAGGTCTTCTCAATATGATAGGAATTTCGCGATCTTCGCTCATTTCCATAATTATGAAATCTGCAGGAATGATAAATTTCTTTACCAATACATCCTGAATAATCTCTTTATGGAGTCTTATTGATTTATCAGCAAGTTGAATTATAGTTCTACATGGCTCAAGTTCATAAAGCCTTAATTTACTGAAAAACAAGAAAAACATAACATTGATACTAGCTACTAAGTCGCATAATGCCCTAATCGGTTTCAAATTTCCTATGGTACAAATAATGATAAAACTTCTAAGATCGCTAAGTTTCTTTGGTAGCTCATCGCTGAACATGGCACTACACACACTCTCCAGCTGCACCACTGCGTCCACTTCAGGCATTTGTCATTTTTTATTGATTATATCTTTTATAAACTTAGCATACTGTGGCATCTGCAACAAAGCATCAACAAATTGAATAGTGACTTTAGGACTACGGAAAATGTGCACAAACTTGTCAAACTCCTTTAAATTGTCCTTTCTCCCGAACCTAGCTGGAAAGGGGGCCCTAGCTATCGCTGGGGTTAACTCATTTTCTTTTTGTTTTGGCATCCGAGCAGCTTGCGTCACTCATGGCTCGGACGAACTTACTTCCTTATTTGGCGCTCGATTGATGTCATCATGTACAGGTAATGTATTTAAAATAACAAAGGAATAAGAGTAATTAATACCTTTGTCAGGCAGCACTGACGATGACGTTCGCTTCCCTCCCCTAGTTTCTACAGCCTTCGTCTGGCTCGGGACAGTCTCAACTGTCCCAGGAAACATTCATTTCTGCTTTAGCTTTAACACTTCAGCTATTTGCCCGACCTGTATTTCTAGCATTTTGATTGAAACAAATGTGTTTCTTTGGAACTCTTGGTTTTCCCGCTCAGTGTTTCTCCATAGTTTCTCCAAAATTAGCAGCTGATTAGTCGCCGTGAGAGGCTGGGCAAAGACAGGTGTCTACTGCGGAAAGTGGGGGGGTCTGATAATATCCCCCTTAATAGTATTGCGGCGCAAAAAATTGTTGCGGCTGATAAAATTGTTGTTGAGGATGTGGACCGGCAGGCCTTTGGGGTTGCTCCTTCTAGAACTGCTGGTACTAAGGAGGGTTTTTATTGGCCATGTAGAAGACCTCACCTGAGCTCTGAGCAACCTGTGGTATAGAGAGTGGTCAACATAGGCACAATTCTCAGCGGCCACAACTTTATTTATTACCTATTTATTTTTATTACCAGAAAGATTATGCTTCACGAGCTTGACCAACTCTTTGACCTAAACAGACAATTGTCTATCCTTGAATCATGTGAAATAGTAACAGGAACCTGGTAAAGACCCTGTGATGGCTCCGACCAGCTCGTCTGATTGACCACCATCTTTTCGATCATTGCCCTCCCTTCGTAAGCGCACCGCCCCATCAGCGAGCTGCCCGCTGCTACGTCTAAAGACATCCTTAACTCAGGAGTGATCCCTCAGTAGAAGATCTAGAGCTCTATGAAATCAGAAATCTCATGGTGAGGGAAATTATGGAGCAGCTGCTTGTAGTGGCTCCAAGCGTTGGGCAGGGTCTCGTTACTAGCCATCTTGAAACTCAAAATTTCATTCATCTGGCTAATGGTTTTGGAAACAAGATGGTACTTGCTCACGAAGGTTTGCGCTGCTTCCTTGAATGTTCCAGGAACTAGGTAGAGGTTGTCAACCACTTATTGGCTTCACCTATTAAGGAAAATGGAAACAAAATTAGTTTGACAGCGTCCTCCGTGATTCCATGAGACTTCGAGGTGGCAACAATCCTTTTGAAGTTCTAAAGGTGCTCATAAGAGCTTTCATTAAGGAGCCCATGAAATTGGCTCTAGCTAACTAGGCCTATTAGCACTGGATTCGCCTCATAATTGTCAGAGCCTTTGGGTGCAAAACTTGTAATTAAAGTGCTATCCATAACGGACTGATAGTGAACATCCATGGAGACTTCAGCAAGGGGGTGATCAGCAGCCTTGTGTCCCTGAAATTGCCTCTTGAAGGGCTTAGCAGTAGGTGGATGGGGGAGTGATGGCAGCGGGAGTTGCAGCGGCGTGAGCAACTTGAGTCGTTTGGGCAACGATAAACGCGGCCTACGCAGCTTGAGCCTTCTCCACCCGAGCGAGGTGCGCCTGCATTCCAACCATTCCCTGCTAGATACTTATCAATGTGCTAACAAGATTCTCTTCAGTAGCTGCCAGGACATGGGGAATAGGAGACGGTTGGAGCACAGCAGGGAGAAGGAGCGGCACCTTCTGCAAAGATACAAATGCAGCAGAGTTGGACGATATCCCAACAGCAGTCTGGAAAGTTAGGATGGCGGTGCAGGAGCAGTGGCATTTCTGTTGATGGCCATGATCCTTTCTCTGGTAATTTCTTAGAACAGACGTCTCTGCCTGCGAGATGAAGGAGTAGGACTGGTTTAACGCTGAAAACGCTTAGGATCCCTGAATTAAAGATTGCCACATCAAAAAGAAAATTATAACAATGATAAAATGCTAAAGAATTAAAGAATAGAAAAAATTAAAGGTAAATTATGGCGCATCACTAGACTAATTCAATATTCAATTTCTTGAGTTTAAAATCCCCGGCAACGGCGCCAAATTATGATACAAGCAATTTGATGATTTAGAATTTAAAATAGGGAATTTCTTATGAGTTTCTTGAATAGAATATGTATTATTGGACATGTTCAGATATAGAGAATGAAAATGAAGTTGTAGACCTTAAATCACAATATCACAATTATTCGTACTCTTTTCTTGTGAGTTTTCAGATCGAACACAGAGATTTTAAGCCGAAAAATTTAAATGAAGAATTTCAATACATGCGACGCGCAACAAAAAGCAGAAAAAGGGCTCGCTATCAAGCGAGCAGAAAAGATAACTAAGACAAAAATTAAAGAAAATGAGTAATAAGGAGCGAGCTGTTGAGTGCATTTAGTGATGGCAGTGGGTAAGCAATGGATGCAGCGAAAACGGTGATGAGCGGAGACGAGCAGATAAGGGCAACGGGGTATAGATATATGTATGCATGATAATAGGTGAGCGGTGAGGGTATTCAAATTATGCTATGTCTGCGCTGTATATTGATAGATGGCTAGGTTCTCATGGATGAAGTGAGCGAATGAGGAAGGTGAGTAAGCGAAACATATATTTATAATACATAACGAAAAAAGAAGAAAATGTAATTGCATAAACCTGCTAAGACAGAAAACAACTTCGCTGGTACTTGACCTTAAGGGATTTATAACAAGACTTCAATGACGCCCAGAATCAGAATATTATGCGCAAGAAAGTCTTCTGTCATTAGAAATTATGTGGCCCAATAGATCCACGCCTATGTCTATTAATTATTCTAATATTTGTCTCATTAATGACTTTACCCTTCTGTTACCTGTCTTTAATCAAAATCGAATTCAAAATAGCAACTAAGCAGGTCGACAAGGCTCCTGCGTACTTAGCTACGTTGAACTACCTAGAATTTGTTATTGAATACGATGCGAAACCAAGCTGAAATAGTATTCTAATCGTAACATTTTTTACACAAATATGACTCTTGGATAGAAATGATAATGGACAAATCTTGATATTCATTACTTACTACACAAAACAGTAAAATTCTACATTACAAAAGCAGGGAAACCAAAGCAGAAACAAAGAAGTAAACTATCCTAGAAATCAGTAAGGTGAGCGGCCAAATGAGGAGAAAATCTCAACTCTCCTGGCCATTCTTAACTAGAGAACTCCCTTACAGGGTTGGAGGTCTCGAAAAGTACTAAAATCTGCAGAATTGAACACTTGAAAGTATGTATGCGTATTTTAAAAAAAGAATTTTTGCCCTATGTATAGATCAAAGAAGACAACAGTTGCAAGCAGTTGAAAAGTGGCTCCAACCGGTGAGCAGTTAGCTCGTTGACGACAGTTATTCCGTTGAAGTAGTTGTGCTGGACATAACTCCCAGGGTAATCGCTTCACTTGCTTTGAAATGTAAGGGCCTAGATCTTCCTCTCTTCCCCAAATGGCTGAAGGGCATCAGCACAACTCAAGCGGAGTTGTCATCGCTGGCTGGTATCGGAATGACTAAACCGCTGAGAGATGAACACTTAGTGAATTTCTGGAGTGGTTCACTCTCGCTTTGCTGTGATGGCTGTCTGGTCGCTGGCGCTGGCTTGAACTGAAAGAGCGTCGCTTGCCGAGCGGCAAACGCTGTCGCTTGATTTTCAATACTTAACTTTTCTGGACCAGAAACATCGCTTAAATAGGCCAAAAATGTTAATAATCTCAACAGACGCATTCTGGATCATACCAAACGAAATAATTATGCCATATATCAGATATATTGATGATTTTCACATAAAAATTCAAGTGATACACAGTTTTGTCAAGCGAAAAATATGTTATTATTTGGAGTTATCGATGTGCAAAAAGTAAACGTCATCCTTTTAATGGATTTAGTGTTTTGAATTTAAAATTAATTTTTTATATAATATAAAAATAAAAATATATATTTAATTTGATATATTTAAGATAAGCATTTATGAATAGTAAAAAATCTACAAAAACTCCAAAACTACTCATTTGTATGTAATAAAATAATCAAAGCTAAAATAAAAAATAATATAAATGAAATACTCTAAAATATTACTATCTTTGTCCGACTCTAAGGGTTGTATTTACTTTATGCATGTTGATTTTTGAATATTAATTATTATATCAAAACGTAGTACAAATCAAAGAAAAATGGAAAAAATACTTCTATTAGTGTCTTATAATACTAATATAAGGACATTTGTACAAAACATTATACAAATATAAAAATATTTTTAATATTAAGTATAATGATGCAAAAGGTAAATGTAATCCTTAGAAACAGACGGAGAGATTATATTTTAAATATAAATTTTTATATAATACTCCATTCATCCGTCAAATTTATTTTATTTCATTTTAGTTCGTCAATTAATTTATTTAATTACTAATTTTTGCAAAGTCAAAAAATCGTCATTTAATTATTATCTTTCTTTAAATACTTATTTATAACAAATATCACAATATTTATTACATTATACGCATTCATTTACTTTAATTTTTAATTAAATTTCTAAAAATACATTCAATAAGATATATTTAATAAATAATACTCCCTCCGTCTCAGAAAAAGTGCCCAGGTTACCGTAGATACGAGAATTTAGGTAATGTATAATCAGTAAGTAATTAAGAAGTATATTAGTAAAAATAATTATTATATAATAAAAATAATTCTAGATTAAGATTAAAATAACTAAATATTTTAATTAAAATTTAAAAAAATTATAAACTGTGAAATTTAAAATATGATTAAAAAGTATAATTATATTTCCAAAAACAAAACAAAAAATTATATTGGACGGACGGAAATAGAAAAGTTGGACAATTTATGTGGGACGGAGGGAGTATCTATTTTTTTCTTAATCTCCGTGTTAGGAGCAAATAGGTTAATTTTACTGGACGGATGGAGTATTTTAAAAACATATTGTTCACTTTGTATTTTTGGATAAATTTATTTCTTATATTAGATATGAGAAATTGTGTCAATACACTACAAGAAAAAAGGATTTTAGGGAAGGAATTTTTCGTCCTTAAACTCACTTTTTTCGTTACTAATGACATTAAAGACGGAATTAGAAACGGAATAAATTCTCTTTTTAAAGTTCTCGTAGCTAACCCTAGTTGTTTCTAATTTCTTCCTTAAATTAGAGACGGAATTAAGAACAAAAATAGAGACGGAAGTAGGGACGAATTTTTCATGCCTAACCTAAACCAAATTTGGTCCTAAAAGTCAGCGACGAAAATATTCCGTAGCTAATTTTGTCTCTAATTTAAGAACATAATTAGAGACGAAATTAGGAATGAAATTCGGGATGAAAATTTCCATTACTACAAAAGCTACAAATTTGGTGCCCAAAATAGTGACGAAAAAATTTCGTCGCTATTTCCGTCTTTGGGTTGGAAATAGAGTCTAGGAAGGACAAAATCCGTCGCAAATTCTATCCCTAATTTCACAAATACGAAACTACAAATTTCAAACTTATAATCAAACAACCATACAGAATCAACTAAAAATCCATAATAAACGTTCAAAATATCTAAAAAAGTTATAATTACGGAAATTTGAAATATTCCAACATCATACAAGGTCCAAAACATATAATCCAATCATAATATCATCAATACTAAATATTGATTGTACGGGAAATATAAATGTCAACAAACTAGAGGCGCACTCGAGTCCCCATCATCGTCGCACTTGTCCAAAACGAGCATTGATCATCTTGAGCTTGAGTTGCTCAATGATGGTCATATGATTCTTCTCGAGATTCTCCAAGCACCGGGCGTAACACGGACCACTCAGGGTACGCCCGTCGCTAGAATCGGAAACCTCCTCTACTAGCACCGCCGCTGCAAGCGATCCAAGCCCAAAAATTCTTTTCTTCTTATCCCGGGGAACCAAGAAAAGTCTCATCACGGCTATATTCTATATCGCCGAACTAAGACATTCATTCCTCAATCGCAGTCGTACCTTCCTGAAAGCAATGAATTTAAAAAAATTATAGTAAAGATTGATAGTCATAGAACATTAATACTATATATAACATGAGGCATACCTTTATACGATTTGCCTTGGTACCTCAATACTCACTACCGTTATGGTGCTTTGTATGCGTCAACTCGTAGGTCCCCTATGAACCAAGACCCTACAACCATTTTTTATAAACGTATATAAGAACATATGTTTGTAGTCTTTCAAATTAATTGCTATATATAAATAAAACTTACCATTTTCTGCGAGGTCTTCATAAATGATCATGATCCACTAGTGTGTGTGGACTTCATGTCAGCATTAGGATTTCCACCCCATCGATTTGCTTTCGCTATTTTTTACTTCTTTATGGCGTCTTTGGATTCCTAATACTCCCTCGAACGCTTTAAGACATTTGCGGGAACAGCGGAGGTAAACTTCTCGTCGTTGCTATTGCGGACCTCATGTTCCCATTTTTTGTAAAGTTCGCAGGCCTTCTTGTTATAGATGCAACGGACTTTACCTTCGTTTCTCGACTTCCATTTAATGTGTTTCTACAAGCCAAAACATCATCAATTATTTATAAAATCTTTTAGTAACATTGTTGTACGCTTGTAGCTATTGTATGTGATATTTTATCTTCTAAAGTTACCTTCATCTCGACTTCATACCATTGTTTTGTTATCAAAATGACACGCTTCTAAGTGGTACCCCCTAAGGTAGATTCAGACCTGAATATAGGCCGGAAGTGTCTCGATGCAGACTAGGCCAAAAGACGTTGTATGTAATTATGGGTTAGGTGCAAAATATTTACATTACGACAATAAATCTATATTTGAGTAAATCGAATACATACCTACCATCCGGGTGAACCGTTATCTCAATACGGCCATTGGCTGCGTCCTTGTCGTCGTTGGCCCCTACCCTGAAATTTGAAGTCCCAAGTGTTGCCCTAGATCCACCTAGTCCCATTCTCAAATTTCTTAGTTCATCGACATTACTAAATTAAATACCGAAAAATAAACGGGTTCGTGCTAACCTAATGTTTCACCTTGTGTGGTCCCAGCTGACGGACCGGCAATGGCCTACAGAAAACAGAAATAATTCAATATATATAAAATTCTAATATAATTAAGTAATACTTAATTTAGATTGAATATACATACCCGTTGCTGTCCCTACCTCGCCAACCACACATTGGCCTATCGGATCCAATGTCCGTTGATTGTCCTCCCACGCCTATGACAACAAGCGAAATGAACGGGCAAACTGACGAATACGTTGCTGGCGTAACCTCTCATTCTCATACTGAGACATTTCAGCATTGAAATATACAATAAGTTATATTGTAATACATTATAAGTGAGTTTATATATTAATGCTCGATGACCTATTCATTAGGTACGTCATCATTAGAACTAGATGGTGGAAGTTGATTTTGTTCTGATTTAGATGAGCTCGAAAAGTAAAATTTCTTTTTCCATTAGGTCAGATTCGTCCGACTCATCAATCGGAATCCATTCCCGCCATCTGTTGAGGCCAAATACAATTGTTGTGACACCCCAGTCTGCTTAACTCTAGAGCTCTTTAAGTAGGGCTTCCAAAAAGGAATGTGAGCATTATTGACATGAGTAGTCTATGTAATCTATTTAATTATTATTCAACCTCAGATGGCCTGGAAAAGGCTCATCTACGGGAGTTGGCCTACCACTGGCCCAACTCTAAGGGTATTACAATTGCTCCCCCTCAGTGGGTTGTTCAATGCTGCAAGTATCAACAACTACATCTTGGTAGGTGGCTGGTTTTGAGCCATTTTCAACAATTTCACTACCCACATCGATCCAACCTTGCAATTCGATATGACATATTGCCAAGCAATCAACTCTATCCCTCTTCATACTTGAGAATGAAAGAGATATAACACTTACGTTGCTTGCATCGCATGTATGAACAGTTCATAAGTTTGAAGTCTTCTCTTTTTATTGACTTCGACCATGTTGTATTTCTCATTTTTTAGTCCCAATCCCTGGCAGTGGATCATGCCAATCACAATTGAAAAAAACACAACGCTTGATCGGTAGTGATGGAAACTTAACCTCTAAAATCTCCTTGATATGTCTGCAGTACTCTAAACGATCGCAATCCACACACATTCCACTATTATAGGAGGCCTTCTTAGTACAATATTTTTTAGTGAAAACGGTATTCATTGATGAAGCATGTATTATGTCTACTCACCTCCACTAACGGACCATGCACAATGTCCTTGTATACTTTTAGTATATTATCTTGTTCCTTGACCTACGATGTTAGTGAAAATAATTATCACGAATATTTAAAAAGATCTTAATGTTCTCAAAATTTTTGTAAACACACACATATCTGGTGAACCAGGGGGTGAAATTTGTTTAAATTTGTGAAGCAACTTTGATGTCGGAAGTTGAGGGACATTCTCGCCTTAACGCTTCCTCAAGAAATCTACGTAAATAGATCGATAAAATTGGTTAGGCCACCCATTTTTTAGTCTAAGTGGAAAATCAAACCTACATAGAAAAACTTACGAAATAAATGCATCGCATTCAGGAACGTTGAGTAGAAAGTAAGTACAGAGTTTAAGAAACAATAGTATTTTGATTATAGTTAGTAATAAAAATAATGTAAATACAATTTTACCCTTATTTTTGGTGTAAAAATAATGATGTGATGTAAAAAAAAGTGTGGTTCATAGTTAAAAAAAAAAAAGAATTACTTTATAATTGGACAATTCAAAATAAAAATATGCATTTTTTGTGAATGGACAAAGAGAGTATTTCTAAAATTTAACATTTTATTTATTTTTTGATTGTTTTTTATAAAAGTGGGTCATACTAAAAATTATTTACAAAGTTATATTTTATCTCATACTGATTTCAACAACAAACAAAATTCGTAATTATTATTATAAAATATGATAGTTTATATTAATTTATATATATATATTAGCTTTATGGTTTAGGGTAAAAAATAATGTAAATTTAACATGTAATATTAGGTTAATAATCGAGCAACTCATAGCCTGTAATTCCATACCTATGGTAATCTATAGTGACAAATTTCACTGCCACTATCAACAATAATATATATACACATGGAACTGATGTTCTTCAATATTGCTCTTTCTTTTTAAGTTGATCAAAATTAACAAAAAAATAAAAAAAATTGAGTGATTACAAATAATAAATAAACTAACATTCTTACATGATTATTATTGTTATTAGGATCCACAAATGCATCATTTAAATCCATCTATGAGGCAACTAGAGAATTTGAAACTTTGCTCCAACTCTTTTGTAGTCACTATAGGGCATAATTATATAGTCCTTAATTCATCAACACATAAAAATAAATAAATAACTAAATAAAATACTTATTACAGCAGCCTTTAGGCCCCCTAAAATGGATTAAAATCAATAGATTACTTTAGTAGAAAGTTGTCTTGACAAGCTCTTGATTGTGCATTTTTCTTAATAATGCTATCATCAACTGTCAATACAGTCAAGGTCCTTCACCTGCAACCTTTCCTGTTTATCCAATTTTATGTTAGGTAAATTATATAACACCTCCTTATGTTTTAGTACAAATGCATAAAACACTCTGTATTTTATTTATTGTGTGAAACCCCCTTATGTTAATGTAAAATTTACACGAAATATTTTTTTCGTCAAAACTGATATTTGATTGTAAATATAAACTCAATAATACAAGTTTTATACAAATAAAATATCTTAATTAATTTTTGTAGACATATTGTTATCTGATTTTTCTTTCATTTTATAGTTTTTTTAGACATATTGTTATCTGATTTTTACAAAAGTTATAATGATCATTTATTTATTTATTTATTTTATTCAAAAAATTATTTAAGATATTTTACCTTTTTAATTTTTATAAAATTTGCATAATTTAGATCTGTATTGAGAATCAAACATTAGCTTTGGACGACGAAGGTGTTTCGTGCAAACTTTACATTAACATAAGGGGATTTCACGCAATAAATAAAATACATGGTATTTTTTGCATTTTTAGTAAAACATAAGGGTGCGCTATATAATTCACCCTTTTATGTTTAATAATGGCAATAAGACCACAGTTTTTAAAGTTGCATAATATTTGATAAGAGGAAAAAGAAAGGGTTGCACCTAAATCGAATTTAAAAAAATCATTGAGGTAGTTTGTAAACTCCCTGCAAATACGTACACTTTAAGTGTAATGTATGCATCTTCTATACGTGCTATTGGTAAAAAAAAAACCTAATGAAACACCAAACCGAATCAGCAATCATACTGACGTTCAATGAATTGAAAACAGTCCTTTAAACTTCTAAACAAATGCACTATCAACAACAATAATGATAGAAGCTTCAATAATTTCACAACAATAATAACATCAATATTAAAACAACAAGAAGAGTCTAGATTACATACACAACTAGTAGGTTTCTTACTTACATACGCAACTACGAGAGTATTATCCAAAAGTAAGCATAGAGAATCACAAACAATGCACTAAAGTACTTTTCTACAACAAAAATCGTTCTTGCAAGATGCTGGTCTTGTCACCTTAAGAACAAGCACACAAGGATTACCATACATACTAAATTATTCAATACTATCATGTAATATAGCATAGAGATTTCCTCAATTCGATGTTTCTTTATGTTGCACGAAAATGAACACCGAATTTCATTATTTGCACATGGATGAGCTGAAGTTGCACTACCGTCGCCTTTCTAAGAATATTTTTTATTATTCGTATGAAAACTGCGGTTTGGGCTTCGAGCCTCAACGTCTGCCCAAATAAACCAATTGTCACAAGGTTCTCACTTGAAATACCTTCTTCTTGGAATTTTTTTTTTTTTTTTTTGTTTCTTGATATCTTAACGAAACTCTCTCTACCACAATGACATATTGGCGCCATTGAAGTTGTATAGATATAAACTTTACAAAAATAAATACGTACAAAATAAGATTAACATGAACATGAACTAAGAATAACACAACCTTAAGACATATAAAAGTGCATTACGATACAAAATCGATGTCAAAGCTCTTTCCATTTAGGAAAAACCCAATGTCAAACACAAATTTTTCATACTAATTAATTCTACCAATTTTTTGTAAAACAACTGTGGACTATATTGTCTTTTTCTTCGGTGTAGTTTTCTCTTTTGCAAACCAAAAGACCAAAATCATCTACTTAACTGCACTTCCCTTAAGGTGTTTTTTATTATAGATAGTATTTCATGTTCACAAATATCTATAACCACTTACAATCATGGATTAACTTTGCCCAAAATAATCTAGCAAATGGACAACATACTCCGATAAATAACTTCTCAATTCAATAGGTATAAAGAAAGCCAATCAATATATTTAACACAAATAATGATAAATACAAACAATAAGGGACCCGCAAAATGAACAAGAAACCTACTGTTGACAATAAAAAACAAAAAAAAAAAACAAAAAGATTGCAAGAAACAAATAAATTTATCTTGTATCCTCTAATATATTAGACCCATATTAATTTACTTTGGATTGTCAACCCAATGTATTCAATACTCACAAATGTAGACATATACAAAGTTTTGTTTACTTAAGTGTTTTACCAGATTTTTACTATTTAATTTCCCAATTTTCTTCTAAAAACATCAAATGTAACACTCTTTTTCAATTCAAAACATCCACCATTATTTCACCTAAGAAGCATCACACAAAGGAAAAAATAAATAAATAATACAATAGTTAAACAAATCCTTGTTGAATTTGAGTTGATTAGTATAACAAAAGTACATAGAAGCAAATATTGATTCTCCCAATTCATTTGTTTTTTGGAAATTGCAGTCTAGAACAAAATGTTTCTATAAACATCACACATAGCACATAGATGCAGTATAACAAAAAGTTAGAGAAGCAAATATTGATTCTCCCAATCCATTTGTTTTTTGGAAATTGCAGTCTAGCACAAAACGTTTCTATAAACATCACACATAACACATAGATGCACACCTATTTGATTCAATTTTCCAAAGTAAATTAATAGATAACTGCATTTTGAAATGACCCACAATGCACCACGTTAAGATAATAAATGAAAGGAAACTATCAAGATTAAAAACAGTTAGTTGGCTAATAGAGTTAATTTACAATTTGTTTCCTATAAAACATCCATAAGTAATATAAAATAAAAGCCTAGTATAAAGCACCCACATTTTGCAAACGTTCTCAAATGGCACGGAATAAATACCACCACGGTTGAATTTAAACTGCCTACAAAAAATTGATTCGCTAGATCAACCAACAACAACCTTAATT